CAGCCACACCTTCCTTGAACAGTCCTTCTAACTTCAGTTCCCTGTAATTCTCTACTCTACCCTATCTTTTACTTTCATAACAATTCTGTCCACCTTAGGTATTTTATGAGGCCTGTTTATTCCTCTCTCCTCTGAGCATTCAAAGAACAATGTCTGGCACAAAGTTAAATGCTAGACAAAATCTGAACTTCTGCAATCCCCACGAACACTGGGCCTTCCTGTCAACATCAGAGATGACGACACCTGGCACCAAGTGATGATACAGCCTGTGGGTCAAGAGCATAATGGTATGTAGCCCTGGACAGAGATCGTGCATGTCACCACACCCTGACCCAGTGACCTTCCAAGCCTCCAGGGTCACCTGAGCCTACGCAGGGTACCCAGTGGCATCCCCCTCACCAGTCCATGCTCCACATCACCTTGGGAGAGATGGCAACCTGACAGGTGGAGGTTGCCCATCACACTAAGCAGAGACACCACCTCCTCCACCCTCTACCGTGCAGCCCCTAAGCCCCATTCTCTATTAGAGCTCTAGTTAACAAAGAACAGAACTAGGACCCGTGGTGGAGGAACAGAATAAAGAGTTTTGGTGATGAAATGAAGAACGTATTTTTAAATAGGTATGTCATAATTTCACATGAGAAGACAAGCAAATGAAAAATACCATTTCAGATACTGTTCATATATTTTCTACTGCCAACAATTTTAATATCGTGGATTGGTTTAAAGAAAATGACTAAACGAATAGTTGCACAGGTGCACTTTGGGGGAGTCCAGGACACAGACTGCTCACATCTGGGGACACAGCTTCAGGACTGGTCAGCTGGCCCACATGACCAAGGACCCTCTCCGCCTGGCAAAGGCCGGGTGGGGCTGCACAAACAGAGGCATTCAAATGGCTATCTCTCCAAAGATGGGCATCCTGCTGCAGTTTCTCAGTTGCTGTCAACAAGACAGGGCTTTTCTGGGGGCAACTCTGCCTCTTCTTAAAAAGGAAATATTTTTCCACACATTCCACAATATCATGGCAAACTGTGCTAGAAACTATAAAGGAAAAGAACCAACACCCAAATGAGTGGCATCACATTGATCAAGAGAAGCTCCTCTAAAGAAATTAACACCTGAAGGAAAAAAAAGTATTAGGAAATAACCTCTCAAGTATTCCAGTTAGAGGGATCAGCATTGCAAAGGCGTGTAGAGGTCAGAAGTTAGTCTGTTTGCAAGCCTACAAGGTGGCCACTGTGATGGGTCATGCTGACTAAGGGGGCATTCCACTGATGAGGGGGTAAGCAGTCAGGGCCAGGTGAACTTAGATCCAGCACATCATGTGTGGAGTTTGAATCTTATTTTAAATGCAATGTGCAGTCACTGCAAGTTCGAAAAAGATGCATTAGGATCCTATTTACATAGTTACTAGGATAGAGAATGACTTGGGAAGTGGGAAGAATTAAGGCAACTCTGAGGAAGTTACTTCAGTAGTTAAGAAGGCCTGGGCCTGAAAAGTAGCTGTGACAATGAAGAACAATGGGCAGGATTTAAAGTGTCAAGTCAAATGAAACATGTAGTAAGCACCTTCAGGGCTAGCATTTATCTTTGGCTCTGAAGAGTTCCCTTAATCCCTAAATAAGACAGACGATCTCACATACAAGACAAAAACAATAGGAAAAAAATTCAGTGAAGACTCTTACAGTGATAAATGCTCAGCTGAAAATAGAACAGGTAAAGAGGACTAGGGGACCAGTCAGTGGTTAGGATGGGCCAAGAGAGAGAGGTGATAGATTTCACTAAACCCTGCACTTGTCACTGAAGATCAATAAATGGCATTCAGTGATGTCATTACTATTAATCAAAACTGAGTCAAGTACTGAATGAAGACTACCCATCAGAAATGACAGACATCCCTATATTCTTCCTTTATCAACTCTACAAGGAGACTGCACTTCAAATGTCCATTTTGAAGACAGTAAGTCACCAGAGACCTACCAGTCTCTTACACATTTCATGCTTGTTTCATGCTGAGACCAAAATGAAACATAGGGAGGAGCCTCCAAAACACACTGAAACAATCACTTTGTCACAGAATCTAGATAGAACACTGTGAGGCAGACTGAAGGTTTACTTTCACCTGTACTCAACCTCTAACTTCATACACAAGAGCCAATAAGCAGAAATAGCAACCTGTAACATAACACAGACTGCAAGTGACTTATTAAGGTGACTGATTAACATGAGTACAAACCAGTGCTGAACCGAGCTGAGTTAGCAGAAAAAGTCTGACAGAGACAACAGTGAATTCAGGTAGTATAAATGGTCTGGCTTTTTTTTTTCTCTCTCTCAAGGGTATAACACATCTGCTACACTAAAGATAGAGTTCTATATATCATGGTCTAAAAGTGATTTCAAAAAACACATTCACTTTATACTTACTGTAATAAGAAACTATATTCTCAAAAACCACATTCTTCAACAGCACCCTGCCCTGCCCTCCATCCTGCAGCCTCACTTCACTGGTTCATGCCTAACAACTGCTGTTACACTCACTTCTAGAGGAGACGTTCTGCAAAAACACTTTCTGCAGAGGGGTTCACTGGGAAATCACCTGAGCACACACCGCCTGAGATTTCCTCTGAGGGTGGAGGAAGCCCAAGCCTCTCTGGCAGTGCTTCTACAACAGAGAACTTCCAGGTTTTCATTTCCTAATGCTTGTTTCTCCTGCTCCTAAAAGTGTTACACTGTGGAGCTAAAACTGTTTTTAAAGAAAATTCCAATCCTGCCTAGAGGAAATCTCCAGTGGCCATGCTTGGTTTATCTCATTTTCTGCCAGCTCATTTTGTGCTGTAAAGAAAGAAGGAAGGAAAAAGCAAAGGTATCCTGTGATGCCTGTTCTATTAAAGCTACAGTTTTGATTAGTTATCTTAAATTTAACCCCCAGGTAACATTACTCTACATAGACAATAATGATCTACACAGTTCTAGTTTAAAGCATAAAGTACTGCCTTTGCTGTGTAACAAAATACCAACCAAGTACTATCCTGGATTACCAGGGTGCAAGGGAGGCAGACAAGTGTTTACTAACCTACCACGGTGAGTGAGGTGCCCCTTGCAAACATTATCTCCTAAGACCACATGCATACAACTCCTTGCAAGCACACAGAGGCCCACAATCCTGAAGGTTACTACCCTAATCTTACCTTTCAAAACATTAAAACTCAGACAAGTATCTTTCTTCAAAGCCACATGGCTAGTAAATCCTCCTCTATCTGACTTGAAAGCCCTCACAGAGCAACTCCCCAGACTTGTGCTCAATCCACAAAATGTTGCTCTACACACTGTAAGCCAGTGATTTCACTACACTTTCTTTCATATAAACTTTACTAAAACCACAGACATATATCTGAGGTACAGGAGGTGCCTTCCTTCTGAACTGCCCTCAGCCACTGGGGCAAGGCAATGCTACTACATGTTTCTGAAAGGTTTAATGTGTTTTAACTAGACAGGCCACTTCGATTTGCACCTTTTCATTTTTCTTGCTGCTTAAGGGTTGGACAGCTCCCTCAAACCATGTTAGAGCAAAACCAGCCATTTTACTCAGGTAGTAATGATCTACACAGCTCTAGAGCTCAATTCTGTAGCTCCTCTATTCATGGTTGAAGGAACAGCAAAAGAAATCAAAACTAGACCAGGAAGAGTATTTGGTCAAAGGTATTCTTACGCAGTGGCGAAGGGCCATGACTTGAGTAAGTGGTCTGAAGGCAAAATGGGTCAAATTTAAAGTCAGGTGCACACTCTGTAAATGTCTTTTCTTTTAAGCAAAACTAAATGTAAAGATGTTATTATTACATCACAAACAGGCCTACAAACAAATTAATTCACTTCTTAGAGGATCTGTTAGACTGTACCTTTAGTTAAAAAAAATAGGGTTTATATAAATGAAAATATCTGTGCAATTCAGGAATTAAAAGAGCATATACTATTTATTTCAGAGTACTGAGGAGGGCTAATACAGCAGGACAAGTTTTGCCACACTGTTCAGATTTTCGTGTTAGTATGTGACCGAGTGGTGTAGACATGGAAGAAGGTCCATCTCTATAAGGAACCTGCATGGACATACATACACAGAGGTGTTGGCCAGAGCCAACATCTGGGTAGAGAAATGAGCAAAGAGGTAGCAAGTTCACTATACAAGACAGTTGTCTGCTGGCTCCTGGGTGCTCTCATACCTAGCATCTGCTGTGCTCTTTGGCAGGACACTTTAGTCACTATATCATACATAGTCAGTGCTGTTTGAGAGCCAAGTCACCCTCCCAGCCCTCCTTATCCTGGTCACCTTCTAGCTGGAAGTGGCCTTCTGATTCAGTTCTGGCCAATGAGATAGAAACAGAATGAGGCAGATGGGTGGGGCTTCTGGGTAAGTTTCTGCCTTCCTGATGAAAAAGACAGATTGATTCTTCATCATTCATATTCCTGCCAAGGCGACAACCATGGTACCTAGAGATCAAGTTCTCATCTTGAGAACCTGAGTGTTAAGTATGAGGATGACAACATTCTAAGGAAGGTGACACGGAGAGAAAAGAAAGTCTCTGTCTCTGGCAACATCAATGAGCAACTGTGTCAGCCTTGGGCCACCTACGTCCAGACATCTTTTCACTGGAACCACATACATCCACAATTATTTAAGTCACCAGAGATAATTTTTTGTTTCTGTCACCAAATTGAGGTGGTAGATGCTCTGGCAACTCTCCAAGATATCTTTTACCTGCGAGCAAGTGGTTCCCACTGGAAAAAATGGGGGTTTCTTCTATTAGTCACCTGCCCCCTTAGATTTGCCTCACTAGTAGAACAAACCAGCCATACATTTTTTTTCTTGTATGGTTCCAGAGCAGATTAAATAAATGTATCCAGAACTTAATGTCCTAAAATGAAAACATTAAAAATGCATGCCAGGTGTAAGAACATAAAACACCCCGCTAATAAATCAACATATTTCAGTACGACTCTACCTTAGAGATGTTACTTGAGTGACTCATGGAATGTCCCAAAGTCTTCTCATTCTGCAAGAAAACCAAACATATACTAAGTATAAAGCTCAGATTAAAATGTGCAAAGAACAAGTCATTAAATCATGACAATGTTACTGACAAATCATCCCTTCAACTAGAATATGCTGAGCACACAAATTACTCTGCACCAGATAGATATCAGCTACTGGAAAACAGAGCAAAGATGAATAAAACAACTGTCCCTGTCCTAAAGAAACTTAACAAAAGAACAGGAGTCTAAAATTAACTGTGTATATAAGGGCAATAAGTGCCTGACTACACATTCAAAAGGAGGTTCTAGACAATTATGAAAGCGGCTCTATCGTGGGCCTCCCTGGTGGCTAGGGGTTAAGTCTCAGTGCTATCAGAGTTCCATCCCCAGCCAGGGAGCTGACCAACTTATGGCACAGCAGACCTCTCCTCTCACCCTCTGTTCCCCTTAGCCATGTATTTCCATAGATCTGCCTGTTTTGCTTGCCACACCCCCACACCTCTGGCCTATATCCCAATTCTTCTATACACAAAAAGAATAATAAAGTTATTCTATCCCTTAAAAATTGAGAAATACTCCTAGGTATCTACCCAAAAGACACAAAAACACTGATTCAAAAAGATATCTGCAGCTCCATGTTTATTGCTGCTTTACTTACAATTGGAAAAATATGGAAGCAGCCCAAATGCCCAAAAGATGACTGAATTAAAAAGATGTGGTACACATATACAATGGAATATTACTCAGCAACCAAAAAAAAGAGACACATGTCTTTTGCAGCAACTTGGATGGAGCTGGAAAAGATCATGCTTAGTGAGATAAGCCAAAAAGAAAAAGAAAAATACCGGATGGTTTCGCTCATAGCCTGAGTATAATGGACCAGGTGAGAAAATAATAAGAATAATGAACAGCCATATACCAGAGACATTTTGTGGGGGTGGAGTGGGGAATGGGATCAAAAATGGGGGGGTGGGGAGGGGAGTGCACGGGACTATGGTGATTGCACACGGGTGACATGGTGATGGGAAACCCGCAGGGATTACAATTGAGATGGGGAAAAAAATGTGCAAATGATGTAAAAATAAACTATTATATAAAAAAATTTGAGAAATAAATTGTATAATTAAAGCCCTTATTTTCTTTTTCTTGTTAAAACAATTCAATATTTTATATTGGTAAAATCAAGGAAATACAAGCCCCATTAGATCCAGTTGTTTTAAAGTCTGAAAACAGCTTCCTCCATGATATTATAGAAAACTAAACAGTTCATTCCCAATATAGACTTGATTTTCCCCCCTTAAATATTGCTAGATTTGTTTGGATATATTTACTGAAAATCTAAGAAGTTTGAGATCACTACAGACTTTCTTCTAGAAAGCAAATCTGAGGATTAATTCGAATCAGTTGCTCACTCATTCCATATTTATTTACTATAGGACTCCTATAATCTTTCATAAAAGTTTTTGGAATAGATTAACTGAACTTCAGCAATATGAAAACATTTGTTTCAAAAGACACTATCAAAAAATGAAAAGAAATTTACAGCATGAGAGGAAATATTTGCTGAATATATTGAGTGATGGATTTATAGCTAGAATATATAATAAATAAACAATGATAAACTTGATAATAAAACTAATTTTGAAATAAGCAAAGATTCTAAACAGATGTTGTTCCAATGAAAATATTCCAATGGCATGAAAATAATAGAGGGACTTTCTAAACTTGATAAAGTTCATCTACAATCTACAGGTAATAATAATTTAATGATGAAATATTCTTCCCTCTTACAATTATATATACCAATAATGAAAAATGAACAAAAAAATTTACTTAGAAAATAGCTTAAAAAACCACAAGACAATGAAAAAATTTACTTAGAAAATAGCTTAAAAAACCACAAGACAATGAAATGAAGGTAACATTTAGATGGCAAAAAAGCATATAGAGAGATGTCCAACATTATTAGCCATTAAGGAAATGAAAATTAAATCGGTGAGGTATCATTCCATACCTATCAGAATGGCTAAAAAAAAAACAGTAACATCAAACAAATGCTGGCTGAGGCGGAGGCTGCAGAGAAACTATGACACATACATTGTATGTCGGAATGTAGACTGTAACATTCACTGCATAAAACACTTTAGAAGTTTCTTTAATAATTAAAAAAGATGCCATTTCCAAACATGTACTTAACATATGAAACCACTGCTTTTCTGGGCATTTAAGGCACAGAAATGAAAACATACACATGATATTAATAGCAGTTTTAGTCAAACAAATGACTTTCAACATTTAAAAAACATTGTGGTACACCCATACCATAGAATACATCTTAGCGTGGTAAAAATGAGATCTCAAAAGAATTACACTTAATAAAATAAAAAAAGAGAATCCCAAAGGACAAAAAAACAGAGAAAATGAGAATAGGTCAATGCTTGTTGGTGGTTAACGTGGGAGCAGAAGCAGGAGGAAAGTGGGTATGGCTATACAGGGGCACCTGAGGGGTCCTTGTGGTGATGGAAATGTTCTGTATCTTAGCTACAGCAATGTCAATATCCTGGTTGGGGTACTACGCTATAACTTTCTAAGATGTTTTTATTGGGTAGCATTAGATAAAGGATAAAAGAGGTCATGCTTTATCATTTTACAACTGTATGTGAATATATAGTTATTTCATAATATAAAAGTTCAGCTATATGCATTCATGTGTATGTATTTATATGTGGGTGATTAAAAATCATAATTAAAAAGTGGCTATAAAAGTAGGATAACAAGAATAACACTTTAAATACATAAACACACACCAGCTAAAAAATAAAGGGTGGAACACCAATAACAAAATTATACTAATAACAAGATGACAGAGATGGTTTAAATTACCTGGCAAAGACTTTAATAAGCAGCTAATATAAAAATGCTCCAATAAGCAATTACAACACTGTTGACATAGAAAATACTCAACAACAAAGGAAAAGAAGAATAATAGAAAATTAATATATAAGAAGAAAGAATTGGGCCCTCACTGGTGGCACAGAGGGTTTGGACACAGCACTGCAAGCGGTCACAACAGCTTCAGTGCGAGTTTGATCCCCGCCCTGGAGATGACCCACATGGTGCTGCAGACCTCTCCTGTCTCACTGGCTGCTCCCCTCAGCAGTGTACTTCAATGGATCTGCCTGTTCTGCTCCCCACTCTGACTATGGTGAATCCTCTCACCACCCCTGGATTTTTCTGGCTTGTACCCTAGTTGCGTATGTATAAATAAATAATCTTAAAAAATAAAAGAAGAATTAAGAACTTGATGAAAAATATATTCAGTATAAACAATAAAGAAAAATGATTTTGAAAATATAGGCAGAAACTTAAGGAAAAACAACTGATTAAATAGCCATGTCACTGGAATTCAAAAAGAAAGAAAGAAACAGTATAATACTGAAAAACATTTGAGACCTAGCTAAAATTTTCCTAAATTTGGAGAAAGATATAAGCCTACAGATTCAGAATGTGAATGAACTCCAAATAGAATTAACTGTAAGGAATGTGAACTGTGAAATCATTATGGAAAATAATTTGAATTTATCCCTTCAAAAACTAGAAACAGAAATACTATACTGGTAATCCCACTTGTGGGCAGAATATGAAGCCATCACCAAAAATAGTGTATCTACCACAATAACCACAGAAGAATTATTTATAATAGCTAGGAAATGGAAGCAGCTTAAATCTCCTTCAATGAACAAATGGATCAAAAGACCTGATAATACCATGGAATATTACATAGCTACAAGAAAAGCTGAAATGCAGCCATTTTCAACAAAATGGAGGAGGACATAAGAATTAAATGCAGCAAAGCAAGTCAGAATAATAAAAACAAATATTGGACAGTCATATAACAAATAAATGGACAATGTAAAAACGACTGGACATCATCAAAAATCATTATGGGCTCAGAGGTTAAGGAGGAAGGAGAACCAGGACAAGGAGACGGAGTGGAAAGGGACAGAGAACATAAGGAATAGTGGTGGGAGAAAACAAATTGTTCTAAAAAGAAAAATATTGTCCTGTTCAGTGTTATTGAGTTATATATCCCAAAACTCATATATTGAAGTCCTAGCCCCCAATGTAGCTGTATTTGAAAATAGCACAAAATTAAGGTTAAAGAAGGTAGTAACAGTAGGGCCTTTATCGGACAGAACTGGTGACCTTTGGAGAAAAGAACTAGGGTTCACTTCTGTGTCTACACATATACACACACACAGTTTCATCATAGTAATCCAAACAGCATTATACTTGGCAAAAGGATTTAGAAAAATTTAAAAATAATCTACATCGATCACAAAAAATAAAAGCAGAACCTAGGTAACTTTAAGGCATTTTTTAAAATGGCACAAAATATCATTTTAGTAAAAGTTCAAATTTGAAATAAAGTTTAGGGCACATTTTAAATGTCATTGCAATTTTTATTCAGAAAAAAAATTTTACCACATAAACTAAAAGGGAAAGACTACAGTTTATTAAAACTATTTCAACAGATGAAATAAATCAATTTATTTAAAGTAATGCAAAATGTGTCCATAACAATCTTGAGTAAAACAATGTATCCCAAATTTATAGTAATGGAAATATCTACTTCATTTTTATTTTGTTTTGATGTGGCAATAATAAAGTAGCACTCTACTAGAAATTATGTGGGATGATGAAACATATGGCCCTAATAGCTAGAGACTTGTTCTTGGGTCATTCATTTATATTCTCTGGATTTTGGTTTTATTCTTTATAAAGAGGCCTTGTATCAGAGATGACCCTTTGGTTCCACTGAGCTCTCAAATGTGGTTGTTTTTATGGGGAATATGTTGCCCTGCTTAGTCAGTACCAGATATAATGCATTTTTAAACTTACCCCTCAAGTTATGAATAAATAGGTTTATAGTTCCAAAACTCCTTCTGATATAGGCTGGTATATGCTTTTTAAAACATCACAAATGATTAGAATGATAACCTTCCTAGAAATATAATGC